TCCAAAGCTATTCTTTTGACTTCAAATGTCAGTGTCCTGTTCTGACCATTCATAAGAATCATCTTGGGCACTGGTTAAAGCTACAGAAATTTAGCCACCAATACGCCAAATACCTAGGGCTGTGAGTGAGATTCTGCATTTGGACAAACTTTCTAGGTGATGGTAAGTAGAGTCAGGTCCAGATACTCCAACTGGCTTTTGAAAATCATTGCCTGGTTATCACACAGCCTCGGATTCTGTGCTTAGACATCCTTCTAAGTCCGCATGGGCTGCTAACAGAATATCATAGACTGGGTAACTGGTGAACCAAAGAAATGTATGCCTCACAGCTCTAAAGACCAGAAGTCCAAGATCAAGGTGCCAGCGTAGGTGTGCTGTGCAGGGAGGGTCTCCTTTTTAGTTCACAGATAGTCACCTTTTGGCTTTAACGTCACATGATAAGGGAGCTCCCTGGGGTCTCTTTTAAAAGGACACTGATCCCATTCATGACAGCCCTGCCCTCACAACCTAAACACCTCCCAAAGGCCCCACTTCCAAACACCATCACATTAGAGGGTTAGGATTTCAACATATGAATTCCGAGGAGACATACAGTTTATAGAACCCTCCCTCTGCTCTGCCCCCAATGATAAGGGTCTAATCTCTTCCTCCCAACTTCAGCCTCTCCCTGGATCCTGCCATACTAATAGCCCAAATCATCTGAGAACTTATTGGCCATGCACATGAACACTATTCATTGATGTCCCACCCCCATAATCCTAAGGGTCAGTGTTCCCATCTGACAGTTGGAGGCCTCTGGGCCCGTACAGGCGAGCTGTAGGATATGAACCCTGGACTGTGACCATGGAGACCCCACGGCGTGGCTCTGTGCCACGCTACCCTGTCTCCCCGACAGAACTCCCATCCTGTGTTCCAGCCCCCTTAAAGCCCTGCCTGCTTTTCTGATCATGATCTAAAAGATGAGCTGCCCACGCCCAGGTCACATCTTCCTTTGAGATGAAAATCGCACGGCAAATCCCATGTCCTCCTATAGCATGGGGACCCGGCTAGAGGAAAGGGACCCCAAATCTGGATGTCCTTAGGATGCTCCAAAGTACAGCAAAAATATCAACTGCTTAGAGAACCACTAGACAGAACATCCCATGGCGCTTGTCTCTATGCATGTTTCACTACGAGAAGTACTCATTCAGAAAGTAAGCTCAGGTCAAAGGTTTAATTCTCCGAAGAAAAAAAAAAGACAGAGAAAAGCTCCCAGGACTGTCCCGTGGCCTGTCAGAGGTGCAGCCCACCTCCCAAAACAGGAGTGAGAGGCTGGCCTGGCTCTGTGCTCGTGCGTCCCAGAAGCTGGAGGAAGGAGGTGAGGAGGGGGCACGTGTATGGAAGGCCTTTGGGCCTTCCACAGCAGCCCCTCTTGACCTGTGAGCCTGGTGTACGTGTCTGCGTCCCAAAGATTTTATTTGAGGGAGAAAAGGTGAAATTTTAAGAGGAAAAATAAGAAAAGGAAAAATGGGATCCAACCTTTTCCCCGGAGTATAAAACTGAAGGCCCAGAGGGAGGTAAATGGACTCGTCCAGGGCCACACAGCTGGTAGAGGCCAGACTGGAATTAAAACCCAATGTTCTGTGTTAAATCAACGTGTGGCACCTCCATCTAGCCCGTGGGTCACGCTCGGCGGTTTTCTCTGATACACTCACGGATGCGGTGATGGGCAAGACCCAGGACCCAGCGGAGGTGGAGACCAGGCAAATCAGGGACCAGCACTTGCGCATGCGCCCTGGGAGACGGTGAAGAGGCGATGCCGCAGGACACAGCCTGACCTGAGGGTGAGGTGGAACGACCCGCGGGAGCAGTGTGGGGGAGCTGAGCTGCACAGGGGAGCTGGTGGGACAGATGTCACTCACAGTCACTTCGGTGCACGAGCTCCCGCTCACTAGTCACCCAGAGAGGCTCTGTGACAAGCATTCAAGCACTGTCTGCCCCCGCAAGGAAGAGATGGCCCTTCCAGGTATTGAGCACCTACCTACACAGAGGTCTGCATGACTGGTCTGTTTCCAGTCTGCCCTGCAAAGCAAGCTGGACCACCCCATCTCACAAAGGAGAAAAACGAGGTTAGAAGAACTGCCCGGAGTCACGAAGCTGCTAACAGGCGGGACCAGAATTTGAACCAGAATGTATATGTTCTTTCCACAATCCCTGCCTATGAAATGTAAGCAGAGACTGGAGTTCAACCTGAACGTCCCAGCCACTGAATCTAGACGGGTCCTTTCTGCTGTGAAACATAAGGCCACAGTCCTAACTGAGAAAACACAGTTCTCTCACGGCTGTCTGTATCAAGGGATGCCCATGAATTTGTAATTGAAGTTGGCTGAAGTACAACAAGCTGATAGGTGTTGAAGGCTGGGGTTAGGGAGCTATAAAGAATGACAGGGACCAGGAGGGAGAGAGGAAAAGCAGGTGGGGGAGAAAGTCCCTCCTGCCTTCTAAGGAGTGATCCTCCCAGCCTGGCAAACACACGCATGCAATACACACAAATACACACATCATGCATGCACACACAACATGCATACAGCATGCACACACACACATGTACACATGAACATACTCATGCACACATACACAAATCCAGGTGTGCATGTCACATGCACACATACATACACACATGCACATGCACACAGGTGCTTGTACCCATCACCGCCACCGCCACCTTGGCCCTTAGGCATCCTCATCTTGTAAGGCCAGCTGACTCTCACATGGATTCTTTAGTTTTCCTCCACCTGCAAACAGCCTCTCCTTCCATCCTGCAGCTGGAGGGCAGAGATATCAGATGTCTGGGAAACCCTCACCAAGCGCTGCATGGCCCTGGATGCCTGGCAGAGGCCCAGCGTCAGTCAGGGACTGGTAAAGAGCAGGGCTGGTGCTGTCCTTTGGCAGGGCCATAAAGAGAAAGCCAGCCACTGGCGTCTGCTGTACAACTGAAGTGAATCGGGACCAGAGCCACGGTGTGCAGTGGCCAGTGCAGGGGTTAGGGCTGCCCTCAAATTCCGCACTCTACCCTCCAGTGACCTTAACTGGTCTGGGTGAACAGTGACAGCCAACTCAGCCCTAGGGTAACAGGCAGAAAGAGCAAATTAAGTCAGATCCTAGCCACAGCTAAGGTCATGAAAACAGATTACACTGCAGGGAAAAATACACACCAGTTATCAAACAGCCAGAGGACCCAGTGACCATCTGGGATTTTGCCAGAACCACCAGAAGCAAGGATCCCTGTGGCTGCTGGCTCACAGGCGCTCATTTAGAACAGTATCCCCATGACCCACTTTATTCCAGCTAGATTTTCTCACTGGGTCTGGTTCACATGCCAATAGCACATATGAGCCACATGGCCTCAACTCTAACATACTCAAGGTGCCCTTTTCACCCTACAATGACATTTATACACAACCCACTTACATCTCATTTTTAAAGCAATTTAATGCCCAGACTGAAATATAAAGGAGAAATGAGAAGAAAACAGTGGTTTAATACATGTATTTTGATCTGTAATGCTCAAGCACGTGGCCCGAGGAACTCCGCTGAAGGCAAGTTACAAGTGTGGACTTAAGGGAGAGGATCAGAGGCCATTTCAAACAAGACATACCATAAAAATCAAAGAACAGAGGTGAACACTAAATAAAAATCAGCGTTGCATTAATGATTGATGAGACCTTGTAGAAGTTCTCTGTGAGTGTCGGCGGGGTATCTGCCAGCCTTGCAACATGTGGAATGACACTCCACTGTGTGAACACCCCTGAGCACTGCTGGACACCCAGCTTTCCTGGACTGAGAGCAACAACCAAAAAACATCCCTCCATTTGTACAGTGCCCTGGGGGAATGGCCCCAGACCCCCGCCTCCACCTCAAGCCTGGGGGGAGCAATCCACTCCCAGGTGGGGGCAGGCATTGGAAGATTGACAGGGGCATCTGATTACTCATAGCCAGGCACACAGTGGCCCACCCAGCCCCTGAACCAGCACTCCGAAGGCAACAACTGGGCATTCGGTGTGCAGGATGTGCCCTCCCCCCTCCCAGGGTCCCTGCACAGGACAGGCCACACAAGACATCCAATCCACCTTATTCTCAGTGGGCAGGTTGTAAACTCAGCATGTGATACAGCAACCTGCATGTATCCTCTAAAACTCTCTAAAATTTACCCATGCACAGGCACCAGGGTAGAAATGAGCCTACAGACCCTTAGCCTACGCAGCAAGCAGACTTGATCTCCAGTCTTGGAGCAGATCTCTGTCTTTAATTGGGGTGCACATGAGGGGTGCTTACCCTGAGAGCCGCCACGTTGTGAGGAAGCTCACACTGCTTGGGGAAGCCACGTGTAGGTGTTCCAGCTGACAGTCGCCATCAACCACTGGATCTCTGGGTGAGCCAGCCTTCAGATGATGTCAGCGCCCTTGCCCTTGAGCCACCCCAGCCTTTGAATCTTCCAGGTGAGGCCCCAGACATCATGGAACAGAGATAGGTCATCACGCAATAGCTGCATCTGAATTTCTGACCCACAGAATGAGGAGTAAAATTTTGTATGCTTTTGCCTAAGTGGCATTAAATGGCAGCAAATTTCTGTGTATCTTTCAAAAATTCAAGATCACTCAGCTCCACAAAAGGCCCACACTAGCAGAGACACAGCAGAACTGAGACTGACCCAGCAAAAAGCAAAATCAACCCCACACTCGATCAGCACTTCAGTTCAGAGGCCAGAGGCAAAGCCCCGGGTTTAAGTTACTTCTCCTAAAGGAACGCGTGTAGATGAATTCTTGAGGGTTAAATACAATGATGGGTTCTGCCAAAGGGGCTCCGGAGGGACTTGTGGCTAGACAGAGGAGCTGAATTCTCTGGAAGGATACGCAGGGGTCTGTGATTGTCCAGAGGAGCCAACAGTGAGTGAACTCAGAGGCCTCAGCCGTCTTCCTTGGGACATGTGGGTGGCGGGCTCTGGGGGCAGCTGTGTGGGGTCAGAGGATGGTGCAGCCACAGCAGCACCTCTCGGGGTAATCCACCACGTACACTTGGTGGTCAGTGCCATAGATGTAGTAGACGTCAGTCTTTCCTTGGTACCAGTAACGAACTTCTGTGAGGGGGATCAGCTCCAGGGTCTGGCGCTGAGGAAACAATCAGCCAAAAAGCAAACCTCAGTGTTCTATTCAAGTCACTCACCCCCTCAGGAACCCTCAGCAGCTCCCTGCTACCTGCAGGAGGAAGTTCATGCTCTGGAGCTGTCATTTTGGCCCAGACCTGCCTTCTAGATGCATCTCCTACGAGGCTCCTTCACTCACCCAAAGCTCTGCCCCACACTGACTTCTCATCTTTAACCATCACCTGATTCTAAGTTTCATCAAGTGAGGGCAAGGCATCTCCAGGGGAGTTTCAGGACGTAGGGAAAGTCTCCAGCCCAAAACAGAGCATCTAACAGGACATTAATTTTTAGATGGGGGCAGAGAGAGGGTGAGGTGGAGAAAATTGGAGGGTAAAGTTATTATAAACATTTTTCCATTAAAACAACCATGGAGATATTAGGAAAGGAGACATTAGGGCCCCACGTGTGACAGCTGTCTCCTAACTGGATTCTATTTGCTAACGTCTTAACCCTGAGCAAAATATCAGCATGAATATTGGTCTATAGATGCCGACCCAAACGACAATCTGGGGCAAAGATTCATTTTTGCCCCAATTCAATGTTCCCCTATTACATCTCTTTTTTAAAAAAATGCATGTCTGGCCCTAGTTCACCCTCCCTGCTCCAGGACCACCACACAGATGGCCTGTGTCACCTGAGATGGGGCTGTGCCATCATAGAAAGCCCAGGAGATGCAGGGTGTAGACGGAGGCCTGCTGCCAACATACTGTGTGATGTTGGGTAGTCCGCGCCCCTTTGCCAAATGAAGGGTTCAAAAGGACTCCAATTGCCAGCCTCAGCAGTAAAAACATCCCAGGAGAACCATCTGTATCCACAAACTACTAAAATCATGTCTTGATGCTCTTGCCCAGTCCCAGAACAGACACCTCAATATGTGGGGGTCTTCACTGTAGTGCCCCCAGAATATACCAGGGCTGCAGGAGCAAGGGTCCTGAGGTACCACCTGGGGTCCTCTCTGGATGGGGCTGCAGGCCAGGCGTCACCTCCAGGTGAAGAGCCACTGAGGTATGGCTGACACTCAGAGGACCACCACCTGCATTGCCCCCTTGCCTGACCATCCTGCTCTGGCTCCCCAACCCCTACACCGATTTTCCCTGGGAGCCCTTGCTTAACAAGTGACGAGCACACAGATCCTTGTCTCAAGAGCTGCTTCTGCAGAGCCCAACCTAATTCAAGGTCCAGCCACACCCATTTACAGATGAGGACATGGAGGCCCATGGACAGAAGAGGGGGTCCAAGAGCCATGACCACATGCCAGAACCAGGAAGCAGAGCCTGACCTGGGAAGCGAACTGTCCCTGCAGTGGTTGCCATGTGAAAAGCACCCTGAATCCTGCAGCGGATTCACTGCAAACCTTCCCTGGTTTTCAGAGAGTCACTTGTGTGCCTTGAGTGAGGTGGATAATAACATATTCCTTAGAGTTGAAAATTTTGAGTTATACTCCAAGTCTCTTCCACTAAGAAGCTGTGTGTCCTTGCCTAAATTACTTCCACTCTCTGGGCCTCCTCTGATTTATTGGAAAAGTCATGGTTTGAAATAGACCAGAGGTATATCAGCCTGGCAGCCCATACAGTGTTCTTAGCATTTTTAAAAATTTTGTTCTCAATATTGAAAAACTGGAAGGTTTCATATAAAAATGTGGACTTCAGAAGGTCTGAAATCTCTGCCCCACAGAGTTGAAGGGATGCCCAGCCTTCTGGATAAGGGGTCCTCCCACTCACAGTACCACCCACTCTGCAGGCCTTTGAGTTTGCAGTGCCTCCATATCATGCTGAGGTTCATTCCAGCTCCAAGAGGGTCACTATTAAGTTAAATGCATCCTTTTCTCTCCTGCAGATAGGGTAGATGTGCAGAGAGAAGGAATTCCCATTGCAAAGGGAATAGAAGGACACTTTCCTGGTGATCCTGTGGTTAAGAATCCACCTTGCAATGGCCGGGGGGGGGGGGGGGGGTGCCTGTTTGAGGAACTAAGATCCCACATGAGGCAGAGCAACTAAGCCCATCGCCACAACGAGGTAGTCCATGTGTGTGCTGTGTGCTCAGTCGTATCCAACTCTTTGCTATCCCACGGACCATAGCCCACCAGGCTCCCCTGTCCATGGAATTCTCCAGGCAAGAATACTGGAGTGGGTTGCCATTTCCTTCTCCACAGGCCACAACAAAAGATCCCGCATGATGCAACTAAGATCTGACACAAGCAAATTAAAAAAAAAAAAAAAAATTTAAAGGAAAGGAAGGAATACTGACATTTTAAGTACCGGTTCCGGGCAGTTAAAGCAAATGATCTCATCCCTTCAAAACCCTCTGATGTGAGGGTAGCATCTCTTTTTCAAGGTAAGAAACTGAACTGCAAGGAGTTCGCAGCTGGCGTGGGACCACTTTGGGATACGGGAGAACCAGGATCTGCACCCAAAGTGTAAGACTCGGACCCCGGAGAGACTTCTCACCAAGTTCAGGCGCGGAGCTTCACGGCTCGACCCCTGGTCTTCCCGCCCCATTTCTTTTACCCCCGCCCCGCGTCCCTTCCCACACACCACGCTGCTTCTGGCAGCGCGATGGGCAGCACCGCCACCTCGTGCCCGGGAGGAGTCAGCCGCACAACTGCCCAGGCCCTGGCCATTGGGCCAGCCCTTGGGGGCCGGAGATTTGGCAAGTGCCCTGTCGGGCCGCACGCTGGGTTCCAACCCTGCCTTCCACCCTAGATCTCGAGTTTTCCCGTCCCCTCTCTGAATACCAGGGGGTGAGAATAAAAATCACACTGAGTCACATTCCTGCGTGAAACCCTGCAAGCTTCCTATCGCTGTCTGGATAAATTAACCCAAACCTCTCCCTGTGGCCTTTGGTCCGGCCCGCCCTGCTCTCTGCTCTCCGGCCACTCTGGCCCCAGGTCAGTCCCCAGTACCTCCATGCTCCTCCCACGAGGGCTCCTTCCCTCCCCCCGCCCCCATCCTTCCGCCCAGCCACTCTGGGCAAGGAGCCTCCCTGCAGAGCGAAGGGCCCACTCCCTCCTTTTTGTCCACAGGGCAGTGCCCTGGAGCCCCAGCCCAGCCGGCACCTCACCTCCCACCAGCCCGGACCCCCTCAGCTTACCTGCTGCAGGACGCGGGCCCGGGAGGCCAGGGCGGCGCTGTGTTCTGAGATGCCGCGCCTGGAGGCCAGAGAGATCTCCCGCAGGGGGAAGTCCACAATGGGATACACCTGGGGGAGACGCAGACCGCCTGACCCGGAGCCTCAGCACCTGGAGCCTTAGAGGGCTGATGGGAGCATGAGCCCAGAGACAGGAGGGCCCGGGCCAGGGGCGAGTGGGATGGGTGGGACTTTTTAAACCTCCAGGGACCCTCGATCCAACCAAAGAGGGGGTTGTTGACAGCGTACTCCCCCACCCAGCAGACCTCTGCTGCTGCCTAACTCAGATTGAGGGTGGCTGCCAGGCTTCCTAGAGCGGTGATGCCTGAAGTGAGCCTTTGGAAACAGAGTGATCCGGCAAAGAAAGAAGGCTAAGAATTATAGTGCAGCCATAAAGAAGGAACCCCTGCCATTTTTAACAACATGGATGGAAAAGAGCATTGTGTTAGGTGAGCTAAGTTAGAGAAAGATAAATATCCTATGATCTCACTTATATGTGGAATTAAAACAAAAACAAAAAACCAAACTTCTAGACGTGGAGAGCATATTGATGGTTACGAGATGGTAATGGGGGGAGGGGGGAGTGGGTGAAGGGGGTTAATTAGTACAAACTTCCAGCTATAAATAAGTCTTGGGGATGTAAATTACAGAGCCCTGACTACAGATGATAATACTGGATTGTATATTTGAAAGCTGCTGAGAGTAGTTCATAAAAGTTCTCATCACAAGGAAAAAAAAAATTGTAACTGTATGGTGATGGATGTCAAACTAGATATATTTACCAGCCAATCTGAAACAGCCACAGACTGTAAAAAGAGAAAGGAAGGAAGAGAAGAAAAGAGAAATAAGGAAACACTGACCCTCCCAATAAACCTCTCCACGGATGTCCTGTAAAAGCCACAGTCCCTTCCCAGGTGGACAGCAGAGGGCAGCAAATCTTTTCTGTAAAGTGTCAGAGTAACCACTCTTGAAGGCCATAGAGTCTCTGTCTCAACTGCTCACCTCTGCCCTTGAAGTCTAAAAGCAGCCACAGACAGTACACAAACAAATGAGCTGTGCTCCAATAAAACTTTATTTATAAAAAACAGGGTGAGGGCCAGAGTTTGCCAACCCCGTGTACAGACGCTCCCTAATCTGGCTGCTGGCACCTGCTGGGCCTCAGCTCCTTGCTCTGGTCAGGTCACTGCGCCCCAGCCCCCTGCTCTCTGCTGCTCCTTACGGCCTCAGCCCTGCTGCTGCTTCTGCCGGACACCTTGACTCCTGTTGTCACACCGTGCATTTACCCCCAAAACCACTCCCCACCCCAACACCTCTGCCCCTTCCTGTCTTTCTACCATTCAACACTGTGAAGAAAATGCCATTATCATCTTCTCCCTCAACAACTGTGAGATCTAAGGGCATAGATTGTGTTTTCCAGTATCCCCAGCATCTAGCATAGTTCCCGGTATAAGAGGAAGGTCTCAAGATTTGTGCAGGGGAAGGAGGATAAGAGGGAGAGATAAGGAACAGGGGAAGGATGGAAGGTTGATGATGTAAAACTCAAACAGTAGCAGCGCTGAAGGGTCCCAGCAGCTTGTGTCTTTCCTGGGAAGCTCTGCTCCCGCCCAGTCTCTTTCTGGATGAAGGCAATGCCTGCAGAACCGGGAGACCCGGGCTCACAGCGGGAGGAGGGACCCAGCTCCCTTTGGGGCAGTTGCAAAGGCCTCCTCACCGTTGTGTTTTCGTCCTTAAAGAGGGTCTCTCCTCTGGCTTTAGCAAGCAGCTCCCCAGGGCAGTCCAGCTGGGGCTCAGAGACAAACTCAAACAGGCTGTTCTTCCTGGAAGTGAGGAGGATGAGAGACAGAGGGGGGTCTGGTGAAGAACATGGCCTTGGCTCAAGCAGCCCAGGGCGGGAGGGCTTGCCATGCTACCCGTGGGACCTCGGGAACACGCTTTGGCCTCTCTGGGCCTCAGCGGCCTCACCTGTAAGGTGGGAAACCAGTCAGGTGCTGGTCTAGCAAGGTGCCTGACGGGGAAACGCCTGAATGTGCGCGAGCTTTCCTGACGGGGGAACTCAGGACTCCGCTCTCCCAGCAGGCGCCTGCGCTGTGAAGGCCCCAGCCAAGCGGACCTCCTCTGCAGACAGCGCGGCAGGCCCTGCGCCACCCCGGCCACCACCCCACCAGGCCACGGCACGGACAGGCACACGTACCACGCGATGACCAGCTGGGTGAAGTGCAGCAGCTTCTTCTCGCCCTTACAGGTGGCACAGGTCTTGTTCCCCCTCCCTGAGCACGTGCTGCATCTGAGAGGGGCCCCGATGGCAACAGTCGTGGCATTCCAGTGGCTCCAGGTCCCTCCCCCAACATCCTTCCTCCGAGAGGTGGGCTGTGGTGGGCAAGGTCTGCTTCCACATGCCCACCATCTAGACCTCCTGCTTCTCATAGCAGTGCTCCAACCTCCTACTGGAGACCACCCTTCTCCCCCACTCCCCAGAGCCTACACAGTTCCAGGGCATGCCCCATCCCTCCTGTGACCAGCCTGGGACCTCAGCCTGGCCAACCAGTTCATTCCATCTCTCTCGCCACAGGGCTGATACAAAGACTGACACGTGAGCCAGGTGGGTGTGTTGAGATCTACCCCAGAAATTTTGTTGGGACTATCAGGAAAGGGTCATGCTTTCCTACTGAGGTGGCCGAGCTTGGAGCTGCTGGCGGCCCCCTCTGCCACCGCAGGAGATAACCTGCCTGAGGACGAGGCCAAAACAAAGGAAAGCAGAGTGCGGGACGGAGACAGATGCCTGGTGGTATCGCTTTAGCACCTGGATCCAGCTGTACCTGAAGTCATTCTGGAAATCTATTCCTAGACTTTTCCGCTGCACGGGCCTGCAAGTTTACTATTTTGCTAAAGCCAGTTTGAACTGGAGTTGTTTTACTTTTGAAGTGAAAGAAACCTGAGTTTCCTTCCGAATATAAGACTTTACCAGTCACAGGAGGCAGATCCTCCAAAGCTCACCATCCGGCTTGTTAGAAGGATGGCCTGGGCCTTGGTGAGCCCAAAGTGTCATTAACCAATGTACCTGTTGAAGAGTTTCACTCCTCCAGGTTTCTTGTTCCCTTTTAAAAATTTACAAATACATGAAAGGCCATCATTTCCCAAATGGGCAACAGCCCATGGACTGCAGAGTCCTGCAAACAGGCACTTTGTTGATTTAGCCAGTCAGCTGACCTTCCTTGATTCCTCCTCCATCTAGTCCCTGTAGTGGGTTATGAACAGGGTGTGCCCAGGCCTGGATCCTCAGAGTTAAGAGTCTCACCTTGGGTGCTTTTCTGTATTCACTTCCCCTCCACACGAGCAGGAAGAGGTCTCCTCTCTTTACCCACTGCCTCCCTTCCTCCCGGAAGTGCCTCATCCCTCCCCCCGACCTACCCACAGATTGCCTGATGGGCTCCATCTGGCCTGGAGAAACATTCTCGAGGGGCCAGGCACCTACAATGCCCAGAGCTCAGAGGACATGGGGGTGGCAAGACGGATCACGCACCCACTTGCCTTCCCGAGGGCAGGCGGTGACAGCAAGAACACCCGTGAGAGCACACTCAGCTCCTCAGCTCTGGCTGCGGAGCCCCGTCTTACCTCCGCCTGCCGGACCCCGAACACATCTGACACCGCCGGGCGGACTTGGCTTTGCGCTTGGCGCCACTGCAGGAGGAGCACCGAACCTGCGGACACAGGCAACCTCAGCCCCCACCCACCTCCCGTGAGCAGGCAGAGGGCGTCCTGAGACCCGGCTCCAGTCCAGACTGTGACCTTCCCCAAGGCACTTCCCCACTCCCTCTCCCTGGCCTCCGCCCCTTGTCTGTAAGAGACCCTGCATCCTCACGTCCCTGTTTTTTCTGAGACATTAGCCTCTGTTTGCTCTTCTCTGGTCCCCACGACCCCCAGGGACCATCCCAGACCAAGCAGCCATGGCCAGAAGAGGCGGGGAGATGGGCAGGCTGGCCCCTCTGGTGTTGGGGGTAACAGTTCAGTCTTAGAAAAGCCCCCAGAGATGGGCCAGGTTACACCCCTATAGTAGGCTCGGGGCGGGCGCTGGAGTCATTCCAGGGAAAGCCTGAGGGACAATGCGGGGGGGTGGGGGGAGCAAAGGCCGCGGGAGGGGGCCCTGGGGAGGAGGCGAGGGCAGGAGCGAGGCCACAGGAGAATGAGCTGGTGCGGCCAGAGCCAAACCCCGCAGGGGCACAGAGCTGGTAGAGCGATGGGCGTGCAGCAGGTGGAAGGTGGGTGGCAGGGAGGCGGGCAGGTAAAAGAAGAAATGCTCAGCTTAGAGCGGCAAGTGGTCAGTGTGTATCCAAAAGGTTGGGGCACAAATGGGGAGGTGGGGAGACCTGAGAACACACGGGGGCATGGACTTCCCACTGGGACAGCCGGTGGCCTGCAGGACTCTGCAAAGAACACTCAGGCTACAAGGGCCTGGACGGTGCTGAAGGGCCCACGACGGGCTGAACAGTACACGTTATCCCCTCACCCCCAGATTCACATCGAGCAGAACCTCAGCATGTGGCCTTATTTGGCAATCATCTTTGCAGATGTAATTAGTAACGATGAGGCCACACTGCACAAGGCTGGGCCCTGCATCCAATGACCCATGTCCCTGTGGGAAGGCAGAGACCCACACACGGGGAAGCCAGGGCACAATGGAGGCAGAGGTGTGGTGAGGCAGCTACAAGCCGAGGTTTGCCAGCTGCCGCCAGAAGTCTGGAGGAAGGATGAGATGGCGCCTCCTTCAGGGCCTCCCAGAACTAACCCTGCCGACACCTTGATTTTGGACTTCCGGCCTCCAGAACTCTGAGAGAATAAATCTGTTGCTTTAAGCCACCCAGCATGTGGTCCTTTATTACAGCTGCCCCGGAAAACTAACCCAAGGCCCGAGTCTGGTCCCTCCAAGGCCCTGAGTGTCACTTCTCGGCACCTGCACCTGCCCCGTAAGTGCTGGGCACCTGTCACTCTGTCCCACAGACAGAGGGGCCCTGCAAGGAGCACCCCAGGTCTCTGTCCTCCTGCAGCCGCACTGAGCAGGTACTCAAATGTTTGTAGGCGGAGGAGGAAAAAAGAGGGGAATAAAAGTCATGAAGCATCAAAGTGAAATAAAGTTAGTAGAGACCACCCAATCCAACGTTCCCATTTTACAGGCAGGAAAATGGAGGCCCGGAAAGGGAGGATGACTTGACTGAGATCGCACCGTTAGTGCAGGGAGCCCCAGGCCCCATCCCAGCACTCCACCCCCAGAGGGCCCTGCTCCCACACATCACCTACTCACCAACAGCCGCGTGTGACTCACCGTGCCAGCCCCGTGGCAGCCACTGCACTTGTAGCGTCCACGCCCGTGGCATTTGTGGCATTCCTGAGAGTAAATGCTCGCCTTGATCCAGTTTCCCAGGAACCAGCAGTTCCTGATTGCACCACCCCCACCCCCAGGATGTCAGTATCCCAAATAAATGTACAGAAGTTCAGGCCACAGTGGGAAGACGGCCATTCACTCATGACTAGGATTCCAAAGAGCCTTGAACGCCAAGCCAAGGAGGTCACATTACCATCCCCTTGGAGCTCCAGACAGTCTGTCCTGGATGCTAAGACGGGGAGACCTGGTCTCTGACTCCCATGTCTTTATTCATACTTCCAGGCTAAACCACAAAAGCCAGTATCCTTTGCCTAACAGGTGGCTAAGGAGTCTTTGGGAACAAGAAGCCATTTAAAAAAAAACAAAAAAACAAAAACAAAAAACAGGATATTTTTGCAAAAGGCAGTGAGCTAGCTACTGGAATTCAATAACTGAATCAAAATAGCTTTTCCACCCTGGAGAACAGAATGAAACACTTTCTTGATCTCTCAAAGTCGTTTTCGTCTGATGACGCTGTGAAAACTCAGAGGGTAAAATGACACGCTTGAATCAAGTTCTAAAGTGAAAACAAGGTAGGTAATTAGATGAGAACATAACATAAAACATCTTGGCTGTGTTTTTACAACACACTAGGCTACCCTCACTGCCTGTCCTGATTACATTTCTGTAAAACAGCACGGATGTCGAATTCTGCTCCCCTAATGACTTCCATTAAAAAAAAAAAATCCCATGATGCTTTAATTTTATTTTATATTTGTTTCATACAGCTATTTACTGATGGGCAAAAAATAAAAATAAAAAGGATAAAAACACTCAGATGGCCTAAGAATATGAATGCTCACTATTTAAAGCTGGTGACAATTTCATACCATCCTGTTGCTATGTGAATGCTCCCTACTCTGTGTGGAATTTTTATGAGTCTATATCCCATAAACTGGGTTTCCTTAGAATTCTGTGCATTTGATGGGCAAGGAATGAACCACCAGCCTAGACTTTGAGTTTCCTTTTTAAAAGGATAAAGTTTGAAGAAACTATGGTGCCAGAAAAACCAGCTCAGAGAGGAGTGAAGTCTCCAATAGACAAGTTACCTTGACCAGTGATGAGTGAGGGACTTGGAACCTCCTCGTGTCTTCCTGAAACATTGGGGGAACCTGGACCTTGATATCCCAGAGCCTGGGGGAGGTTCCTCTTTGTGGCCCATCCACGGAGTGATCTGACAGAGAAAGGGGTCATTGTAGGCCCAGCAGACAGCTGGGAGTACCAGCTTTCATTTATTCATCAAATAGACCAGACCTGCACCTGGTACCAGATGTTAGGCTCAACACTGGGGCCAAGGGACTGGTAGATACAGGTCCCCTCAGGGTCTATGGTTAAGAGCCCAAGCTCTGAAGTGGAACAGACCTGGCTGACTCCTGCCTCTTTGTACTTCCCGTCTGCGGAAGCCCACACCAGCCCCTCTACCTCTCTGCCCTGCAGTTCTCTCCTCTCTAAACTGGGGATAATGGTGCCACCTACCACGGCAGATTGTAGTAAAACTGAATGCAGAAGGCACACCAATGCTTATTAGCCCAGGGCCAGTACATGCTGAGGGATCAATAAACAAGGACTAGAATTGCTACCCTCACCACTCCCACCATCTCCTTCTTTCTCGTCCTCCTCCGTTCAAGGAGACAGACTCAGCAACAACCACAATACAATGGAATATGGCACTGTGAGTGCTTTGGACAAGAGCTGAGTGAGTGAAGGGTTCTGAAAACTCAGAAGATGAACTCCCTCTGCTGGACAGGAGGCAGCAGGAAAGGAAATCTTCAAAGGCTTCCTAGAAGAGGGGACCCGTTAGCTGAGCCTGGAAGGACAGGCCACAGTGGCCAGCATGGACAGCAGGCAGAGCACCGAGCTTCCCAGACAGACAGCCTTAAGCCTCTGGGTGCTCCAGCAGCGGGCGGGGTGCACAGTGAACAAGGGGGTCTAGAGCCTCGGGGAGGTGCTGGGGGCAGCCTGGGAGGCCAGCAGACGCCCGAGCACACTTGCTCCCTTTGCCACCTGGCCCCAGGTGGCAGCACCAGCCTGTGGCCAAAGACGAACACTGGACTTTTTTAGGATCTCCTGCAAACCGCTTCTTGGACAAGGAAATGTTTGCTAAGCTCAGCTCTGGGGAGGCTCCGGGAAGAAAGGCCACGCTGTCGGTTTATGGGAAATCAGGCTTGGGGCAGCAAAGCATCTTCCTCAGGGTTAGTAGCTAAGACAAGTCCTGACATTCACCACCAGCCCCGTCCGTATCTGCTCCCAGTTACACCGACATCAGACAACTCACTTACTGGTAAAGGGCTGAAAAGTCCATTCACTTATCCGGGATTCACTGAAGGTCTCCAATCGATACTGCAAAGGAAAAACAACGTGTTCACACTCATGCCCTTAGGAAGACAGAGCCTTATGCAGAAAATGAGGCTTCCCGCCCCTGGGCTCATCACGCTATGCACAGCACCCAAGGTCTGCTCAGAACAGGCTGGCAGCAGTGACTTCTCACAGACGGCCTGGGACGCTCCTGCAGGGCTCACTCAGTCTGAGGAAGTGTCCCCTGACCGGCACACAACTGGGCAGCGTCAGCTCCGCATGTCTTTACACATAAAAATGGTCTATCAGGTAAGTTCTCGAGCAAAAACCGCCTTTTGATAGATGGAGGCTGCCGGAATCAGCCACTGTGAGCATCCCCTTGGAGGAATTTATCTGCCTGATGTCCAGACCTTCTTTCCTTCTTGAGCCTCATCCACAGGATCACAAAACAGAAGGGGTCTTGGACATCGCCCAGCTCCTCCTTTCCCATGTGAGGAAAGGGATGCTCAGAGAGGTCCGCTGACTTGCCTGAGGTCACACAGCCACACAGAGACCTTTACCCCAGATCCCTGCGAGGCCGATTTCCATGTGACTGTGTGCCCTCTGGGGGAAAGCTGTGCCAGTGACACAGGACGTGTGGACTGACACCTGACCTGTCAGGGCAGAGGGTGACAGAGGTGCGTCTGCGGTCTTGGTACCAGACACAGGCCCACCCTGGAGCCTCAGGCCCGGGGATGATGAATAAATCAGCCTTGGCACAGACGAAACTTGGGGGAGGCAGAGGGCGCTAGGATCACGGCAGGAGATGGTCCTTTTATCCCTCTGGCAAACAGATTAGTTGTGTCTTAAAAAACAAGACTTTGAAGCCAGCAAATCCAGTTTGAATCCCAGCTTGGTCACTTCTAGTTTCGTGTTTTGGGGTAAGTAACTCCACTTCTGTAAACATCCAATTCCTCCTTTAACTGGTGATGATGGTTATCTACAGTGCAAGGCAGCTATGAGGATTTGATAAGACATATATGGAATGTGCTTTCCATAATGCCCAGGGCATTCAAGCTGCTTCACGGTGACTGATACTCATGATTCCTTGTATTGTCACTCACTGCAAACCCGGGAAGCGGCAGAACCAATGTCACCACCAGTCACACACACACGGCCCCCCACGATTCCTTTCCCCCGGCCTCTCCAGACCCCCACCAGCCGCCCCTCACCCGACACAGGTTCTGCTGCTTCAGCTCCAGGATGACGAGGTCGCCGGCGGCTGCGCTGCCGTAACAGCACTTGGAGTCCACGAAGCTGAGGAGGGCTTCCCGGGCCACCTCTTCTGTCACCACGGGGACTCTGCTGGGGACCGAGCAGGGGGCAGTGGGTCTGGGGACACCCCGCAGGCCCACCAGGCCAGCCAGCCCCACTCCATGTGCAGATATTAGCTGAGGACTGGACACTGCGGGGGGCAGGGAGTTCGGGGGGGCGCCATGGTCCCCAGCAGGGGTAGAGCCCTCGGGCGTCCGCCTGGGCAGGGTGTCTCCAGCATCAGGAGCTGTGTGAACGGGTTGCTGGTGGGAAAGTGGCGCCGTCTGGAGGACAGAAATGTACTTTAGCTGACGTGTGGAGCTGGGGAGAAGGGCCAATAGAACCTTAGAACTTGAATAGAATAAAAACCAAAAAAAAAGATGAATGATGTCATTTTAGAGATATGGAAAACTGAGGTCCAGAGAAGGTGTCACACAGCTAGACAGAGGCAGAGTTACGCAGACAAGGCTCCTGCTCTCGGGAGCTGTAAGCAGCGCTCAGGAGGAGACCCCAGTCGAGAACCTTCCGACAGTGGTGTCCAGGGAGACTTCCCGTGAGCCCACAGCAGGACAGCAGCACTGGGTTGGAAGGCAGATGACAGGTGACCCTTCCTCAGCCTCCTCTCTGGAAGACTCTCCTGAGGCCCAGCTGACCTGTCCCTCCTCAGCAAAAGCCTTCCTGCCCTACCACCGCCATAAGCAGGGGCTCCTTCCTCCTTCTTCCCCTCTCATCTTCACATTCTTCTCCATGGCCGCCCAACTCCAAATGCAAGCCCTGCGTTCATACACGCTGTGTCCCCAGCACCCCCGGCCCAGGGCAGAGAGGTCTGTGCGCCCACAGATGGCGCAGAGCAGATGGAGAATGTGGGGACTGGGGCGGCTGAGATGAATCCACGGAGGAAGTGGGTCCGTGGGCACACAGGGCGGTGGCCAACAACGAGAAGGGAAGTGGTCCAGGCAGCAGTGGGGCCACGACCAGGAGGACACCCTCGAAGGCAGGACACAGCCACTCTCGGCTTAGAACAGCCGTGGCCCCTGTGTCCTCACACGCCTGGCTGGACAGCCGGACCTCCGCCCCGAGTCCCCCACACAAGGAGGGCCCGCTCCAGGGAGCAGAGCAAGGGCGGCGGGCTTTTGCTAAAGGCCTAGAGCACAAATGTTTTAGGCGTTGTGGGTCATATGGCCTCTGTGTCACCACTCAGCTCCTCTGTCACAGTGTAAAGGCAGCCACAGACACTAGGGGGAAAAAATGCGTGACCGTGTACCAATAGGCAGTGGACTGGATCTGACCCAGGGGCTGTCATTTGCAACCCCTGATCTAGACTAGAGTTTTCAAGCCTGGCATGGTAGCCAGCTTGGAAAGCTTGGACAAGTACACATTCCCAAGTTCCATCCCTGGAGAATCTAATCGAGCAGGACTGAACTCTGAGGCACAGTCTAGGTTGAAATCTGTGGCCCCTGAGATTTCTGAGAAGGGCTCTCAGGGGACAAAGGTGACCGAGGGATGATCATGCATGACCCCGTATGATGGCTCCCCGGGGGTCACCAGATCTCACCTGTGTTCCAGAAATGAGGACCAGCATCTTTGTTCCTGGGGTCTCCCTGCAGTCTCTGAAGGTGGGAAAAATATCTGGTGTCCTGGAGAAGAGGGGAGGAGTCAGGGTTCAACAGTTTGGCTTCAAGGCACAGGCATTTGTGAGATGAAAGAAGGAAAAATGAGCCAAATGTGAGAAAGAACAGATGAAGAAGGAGGGTTCCAAGACCAGCATTATCCTGGTCTTAGATGGAGATGGACATGGTCATGGAACGTCCACGGACACAGGACCTATGCCCCTGTCCTCCAGTTCCCTCCCAACAGTGACAAGGGGCTTCCCAGGGTCCCCAGGGGACAGGGGAGTTCTCCCAAGCCAGCCTATTCCACATACACACCCACAACAGCGTCACCTCGGAAGAGGCTGGAAGACCCAAGACCCTACAGACCACACACTTACTGTCCCCTTGAAGGACCCAGTCACAGCTGGGCAGTGTCTCCAGGAGTTCTGCCGGGGGCGCCAGAGGACTCTCGGCTTCAAAGCTGAGGTCTACCACACCTGAGAGAGAGCAGGGAGTGCTGAACCTCGGGGAGGAACAAGTGAGGGCCAGTACATGGTGAAGAGCCTTGAGGTTTAATTCAACCTCACTCTGGTCCCTTCTGGTCCCCTTGGGATACACACACATCTGCAGGGCAGGCAGCGATGGGGTGGGGTAATGAGAGTAGCAGCAGTAATAACAACAAGGAGAGGAACATGAGGAAGGGCAGCTCCTGCCTGTTAGCACCTTCTCTGAGCCAGTCATCAGGACAGGTGCTTCATAAGCAGTAGCATCTTCCTCGGCCCCAGGGGACAGTCACTGAGTAACATGCAGGCACACTTCTATGATGCTCCTTTCATCACAGGACAGGTCCCTGTTTGCTCCTTGACCCTGGGCAGGCTTGTGACTGCTTCACCAAGGAATGCAGGGAGCCGAGAACAGAACTGCAGCTCCTACTTCTGGCCTCCTGAAGCCATCCCTCTTGATGCCTGAGCTGCCAGGTAAGAAATCAGACCACTTCACTGGAGAGGCCAAGTGGAAATACCCACAGACTACGTGGACAGGGGCCCAGTGGTATCCTGCCTTCTCCAAGCACCCTGCCAAGCCACCAGGAATATGAGCAGAGCCATTTTGGGCCCTGTAGTCCAGAGCAACTGCCTGCCAGATGACCAGCCCTTTAATGGACTGCGTGTCTGCATCCTCCCGAAATTCATATGCTGAAACCCACACCCTCAACGGAGCTGGGGCCTTTTGGAGGTGATAAGGTTGACATAAAGTCTTAAGGATGGAGTTCTGTGATGGGATCAAAGTCCTAAGAAGATTGCTCTCTGCTATGTGAGCAACTGGTGAGAAGGCAGCTGTCTACCAGCCAGATGCTGGATCTGCGAACTGGAAACTCAGGACAACTCATGAAGCACCTTCCACACATGGTGCCTCACCTCACCATCCCTCCTGCAGGTGTAGAAGGCAGGACTTCTATCTCTGCTTGACCTGAGCAGTGTGAGGCTCAGAGAAGTTATTCCAGTATCCTGAGGATGCACATTGCTAGAGTTAGAGAAGGACAGAGGCTCCTTGCTCCAGTTCTAGCCCACTGGGCCGTCCATCAAACCCGTTCCCAAAGCCCCCATGCTGGGGGACAAGGATCCCTCAGCTCTGTCTTTCTAGTGGTCAACTGACCACAGGAAGTTGACTTTAAAGGGTGAGCTGATAAGCAGTTAGTGGAAAGGGATTCTCTGCATTAAGTCACTGAAGCCCACTTGATTCAAGCTTTCAGTGGATCCACCTCATCTCCTGGATCCTTCTCTCTTTTTTCTTTTGCAGTTCTTTAAAGCCTGTTTCTCTTTATCACTACAAAAATAAAAAGAATATGTTCTGTCCTTTAGAGATAAAAACAAAGGCAAGAGGAAAAAGATCTTGTTCAGAAGTAGAACAGCCTAGGTTATCTGGAAGTAGAGACAGATGGCAGGTAGTGAGTAAGCCTGAAATTTTGGAATTCAGGTCAAGAACAGTGAAGGAAAGAGGGGATGTAATTAAAACAAATTAAAAAACCCTGGCTCAACCACCTCCCCCGTTAGGGGTGTACTTGTCCTCTGACAGTAAGAAATAATTATGGATCTATTAAAGTTCTGCCTCCTGGGAGGAAACTTGCAAAGGAAGCAGAAATAGAAGGACATTTGTAGATGTAGAGTACCTTTCTTAGCTGGAAAACCTGTATCTGTAAGTGAATGATTCTGCTGAGACCCTGGGGAAAGCCCTGGGACAGATATGGGTATGATGTAAAGTGACATCATCCCAAACCTTTGAACACCTGTTGCTGTGTCCTGAAATTCCAGGATGAGAATTCACCTGGAATTATTTGTTGAACCTTGGTTCTCAATATTATTTTGCTTCTAATGAGTTCATTAGCATTCTCAGCGACTCTAGCCACCAGGCACCCAGGGATCAGCAAACATTTTCTACCAATCAGTTCAGTTCAGTTCAGCCACTCACACATGTCCAGCTCTTTGCAACCCCATGGACTGCAGCACACCAGGCTTCCCTGTCCATCACCAACTCCTGGAGCTTGCTCAAACTCATGTCCATCAAGTCAGTGATGCCATCCAACCATCTCATCCTCTGTCATCCCCTTCTCCTCCTGCCTTCAGTCTTCCCCAGCATCAGGATCTTTTCCAATGAGTCAGTTCTTCGCATCAGGTGGCCAAAGTGTTGGAGCTTTAACTTCAGCATCAGTCTTTCCAATGAATATTCAGGACTGATTTCCTTTAGGATTGACTGCTTTGATCTCCTTGCAGTCCAAGGGACTCTCAAGAGTCCTCCAACACCTCATTTCAAAAGCATCAATTCTTTGATGCTCAGCTTTCTTTATGGTCCAACTCTCACATCCATACATGACTACTGGAAAAACATCATCCCAAAGCTTTGAACACCTGTCGCTGTGTCCTACAAATAGCCAGGTGGAAAGTATTTCAGACTATGGGCTGTACAGTCTGCCTCAGCCATTGTGCCCTGAAAGTAGCTATAGACAATAGACAATTGAATAAGTGTGGTTTGGTTCCAATTAAACTTTACAAAACTGGCAGTGGGTGAGCTTTGATTTGTGAGCCATATTATGCCCACCCTGACCTGCCACACACTTGTGTGGCTGGGTTTGAAGGGGATCAGGAAGGTGGCAGCTGGAATTTGAAACTTTCTGGGGTGGGGTCCATGCTCACTCATTGCAGTATCTATGAATCCAGTCAAAAGAATTAAAGATGAGGGGCAGGGTTGGACTGCAGCCCAAAGTGACTAGACTCAGAATTCCTGGGCACAGTGGTTAGGAATCTGGGCTCTAATATGCCAGCATCTGAGCCAGGTAATACATGACACTGTCAGACACCCATCTTCCCAACACTCAACCTCACCAGCTGTGAAAGAGAGCAGGTGATATTAGGGCCCATCTAAAGAGACAATGTGTATACAGCTCTCAGCCCCAAGCCTGGCATGTAAAACATGTTTGGTCGATGTGTTGGACCTGAGGAGGGCGGGTCTTCTTTCTTTGTGCTCCTTTAAGCCACGGGACCAGAGTGAAAATGTCAAACATGAAAAGAAAGGGAAGGTTATCACAGCCCCATTCCCTGGAAGGGTCACCACCCATCCGGAAGTCTTGACTCTGATGGGGCATCAGTACTCTGCCGGACAAAGGAGACAAGGAAATGCCACGTGGCCGCTCTGTCCTGCTAGAAACCAAACAAAGAGGCAGGAAGAGGGGAAGAATAAGAGGTGGGAAACTCAGAGCTCCATCCATCAACTGGGAGTCACCCTGACCTCTGGGAACGTGTCAGAACTAAATTAACCTCCCCATTATGTTGTAGACAAGAATAAAAACCTCCAGGCTGAAGCACGGTCTGACGCGTCATTTCCTGGGCAGATCGCATCAGGCACAACAAGAATGTGGACATCATGGGACATTGTGTGGCGCCCAGTATGGGGAGCTCTGATGGGGGCCACCAGCCATGTCACCATTCCCGAGATGTTGGGCTGTGTTCCAAGGTAGTCGTCTAGCTGGATCACTGTCCCCTAACAATGCTGGGCCTAGTTTGGGAATGTGCCATGGTCTCTCTTGCACCTCATGAAAACCACTTTTGTAGAAGGACCCCATTTTTAGAAGGCAAGATGGGGTTCAGAGATGTGATCTGAGACAATGAGCTCACAGCAGAGACAGAAACACTACTTAGAACTCAGAGCCTGACTCCAAGCCCTACGGCCTTTCCACTTGGGGGACATCCCACTGCTCCAGGCACACAGGTCAAGTGGTTGCCAAGAGAGCTTCACAAATGGCGACCCAGGTCGTGTTTCTATCCACCAGACACCAACTGTTTTTCTTTTGTATAGAAAAGAATTTTTCTTGTGGAGACAGGCACAATTCATGGATAACCCCTCAAGTTTCTGTTTTTAAAATGTCATTCCTTTGATGTCAGAGGATCAAAGGAGTCCATGTCTCCTGCTCCTGATTAATCATTCTCAAAGCACTGAAATTTGATGGAGGTGACACTAAAAGTGACTTCCATGTGGATGCCACATCCCAGAATGTCCCTATCCATGCCTCCTTTGGTACCAAAGTATATCACTGGAGGAATGTATTTTCTTTTTTTTTTTTTTAAGTGGAGGAATGTATTTTCTCTGAAGTTGCTCCACATTATAGACACAAAAACTAAGGAGACAAAACTTTAGTGACCAGGAAGGGTAACTCAGTTGGCTAAAGTGGATACCATCTTTCACCTAAGAAAGGACATTTAAATTATAGAAGTCCCACAGCAGCCTTCCTTTCTGAAAGGAGGAAAAAATTTTACCTAGTTTCAGATTTCATCAACTTAGTTTCTAAAAAATTTCTGAACCATCTCACACCTTGCAGGAGACCCAAAGTGCCGGCTTGAAGTTCAATTGTGTTGGAAACCAGCATATAGAGTGACCCTACAGCAGAATAAGGGGTTTTAGAATTTTAAGGGAACTAAAAAGAGTTCACCTTCCTCTTACCTTCCTTACCAAAAAGCCTGATGCCAAAAGAGAAAGAGCACAATAACAGTATATTCCATTAAGAGCAGTTTAATGTTGTAGGGGGCATAATCTGATCATTTTCTGATCATTTACTCCATGCCTACTCTGGGCACTTTACATTAAAATTAATCTTTTATAAATTATACAAGATGACACCATCTCTATTTTTTTTCTTGGGGGAAATAATGCTCAGAGAGGTTTAGTGACTTAGGTAAAGTCACCCAGCAATTAGGCAGCACTTGGATTTGAATTCAACTCTGACATAGCCAATATCTACTACAACAAAATCCAAATATAAATGGAAAGCTAATGAGCAGTGTTTCCAAGATGAAAGATTTCAATCAACTATTAGCAGAAAGTTATTACAATAATACTATGGATACACAACTCCAACATATCAGAGGTCAGAGTAGGTCCTCCTCAAATACATGCTAAATTATCTATGTACATTCTCTCACTTCAGTATGAAAAAGGACTCCAAGAAAACATAAACTGAGCTCTCTAAGATTAGCATGCATTCATTTTATATCCCACTGGAGTTCTGAGGCTTGAAGCTCTGAGAAACCAACATTAAAGGCCATAAAAAGTGATGGGCTTGCAGAGGACCTTCAGAGTCACCACGTTCAGTAACTCTGAAAATGCACTAATGTCACAGGCATCTCTGGGATTCAAATGAGACCTGAGGATACCCTACCCCCACCCAACACACACAGAGCACGTATACATAATATTTTGCCCTTGACTTCATGGTCCTCAAATTAACAACTCCTGACCAATCTCCTTCTACAGTTGGGAAACTGAGGCTCAGAGAGGTTAAGTGACTTGCCCAAGATCACACAGCCAGCTGACAGCAGGGCTAGCACTTGAGTCCTAGCCTCCCAACTTTAAATCCGGTACTCTACTTTGTTGCCTGTCCCAGATTTAGGATCAAACATTTCTGTCTTAAAACACATCACATCTCTTCTGAAAATACCACTTCCTTTTTTATTTCTTTAAATAGTTACCAGATTCCATTGTATTTCTGTCCCAGGGAGGACAAGATGGACTTCCCTGGTGGTTTAGATGATAAAGAATCTGCCTGCAATGCTGGAGGACCCAGGTTCAATCCCTGGGTCAGGAGGATCCCCTGGAGAAAGGAATGGCTACCCACTCCAGTGTTCCTGCCTGGAGAATCCCATGGACCAAGCAGCCTGGAGGGCTCTGATCCATGGGGTCGCAGAGAGTCAGACATGACTGAGCAGCTAACACCATGACTAATGACAAGATGGGGTTACCTGGGCTATGTTTGATGAGCGGCAATGAACAAGCCACCTTCTTGCTAGAGGGAGATCACACATAAAAACCTTTCACTGACGTTTCTTTAAAGTTAACTTCATCTAAGAACTGCTGCCACTGTGACTGAAATGGGAACCCTGATATTCAGGCTCGCATTTGGCTCTGGAGAATGGGGGTGGGGATGGACTGTCAATCAGAAAAAGGAAGGATAAAGAATCTTAAGATTCAGATAGCGTTACAGAGTTAGGGAAGAAAGGTCTCACCTTGGTTTCTGCCATCCTTTTCAACTGCCCAGGGGTACCTAATGGAAGAACAGCCCACAGGGTGCAAGTAGGCTTTTCAGGCAAGAAGAAGGAAGGGAGGAAGGAAGGGATGCTCTAGCAACACAGACACAGAACCAAGACAGTGCTGAGGGCAGCAGAGAGATTTCAACTCAGCGTCCCCTGGAAGCAGCACCCTTTGCCCTGACCGGCTGTACTTACTGTCATCGTCACTCAGATCCCTGTCCATGGTCCAGATGTCCAGTCAAGGAAGTGCCTGCCCTCCCAGTGGGCCCAGGCCGCTGGGATCTGAGGGACCACCCTTGGCCCCTCCCAGAACAGCGGCCCATTGTTGCCCGATTTAAATACAACGGAGGGAAACATCTGCGGGGAAGCACGGAGCCCATCAGAGGCTGCTCGGTCTAAGTGCTGCTCCTGGGGCTCCTCTTCACAAGACCCTCTACTTGCCAGGCCTGTGCTACCAATCTCCTGCATCCGCACACAGTCCTGTGAGACAGGCACTTCCAGGGAGCCCATTTTTCTGAGCAAGAATTCAAAGCTTCATCTGTCTAGACTCTTAAGTCAGAGTTCTTGACCCCTGCGCCACATGGCTCATCTGAAGGAGGCAGGTTCCTGAGTGCTGTGTGGGCAGGGTGGGGGAACAGGGGACACCGAAAAATGTAAACTGTAATAACCGTGAGGAGGTTACCTCCCCACGGGGCAGAGGAGAAACACGTGGGATCTCTCAAGACTTAAGTGTCAACCTCCTGGGCCCACAGGGGAATTGTTGAGGCTGGGATTATGAGATGATGCTCCAAAACCACACAGAACATCATGGGCAGAGCCAGCTCCTGACCCAGGCTGCATGGGCCCAGCTCTCTGTGAAACATCTGTGGCTTTTTAAAGGTCTCTTCCTAAGCCTTCTGCATCAGGACTGGAAACGCCTGCAACCCCAACCCTTGCAAGGATACCCCTCTCCTCTAGAGGAGTCTGAACAATGAACACCCGGGCCTGGTCAGCTGCTGCCGGAAGCAGAGGGTTCAGGAGCTGGCACCACCTGCCCCGGATCCCTGGCAGTGACCCTCACATCTGGACCTGGTGTTCTCTAGCCAGGACAGCCTGGCTTGGTAGGGCAAAGCACATCCCCTGTGCCCCGCCTGCCCAGCCCAGCAGTGCCCATAGGACGTGTCACGATGCCCACAATAGACTGTCATGCCCACCTGGGAGGCACTGACCGAGGCGCACGGGCCTGGCCTCGACAGCAACACCAGGCACAGAGATGCTTCCAGAGTGCCCTCAGCCTCACCCCCCAACATCCACCCTCGTCATCCACTGCCCACCCTCAACAGAATGCTGGCGACAGTCATGAACGCAGTAGCGATAATTTGACAAATGCTTCTTGAATATGCTCAGATGACTCAGTGCTCACAAGTAGGTTTTTTATGGTTGACTGGAGCACTGCTTTCCTTTAACTTGAGAGTTAATTCCATTACTACATATTCATGAGAAAGACCAAGGCCCTCAAGAATTCATTTAGCTTTTTGATAGTTTTGTACATTGAACAATGATTTTAAGCCCTTGTAGAACTGTCCCCATGATAACAGGATTGCCATAGCCGTATGTGCCTGGTGTGGGTACCTTACTCTAAATGTAATACGCATGTGTGTCTATGTCTTTGTCTGTATGTGTGTGTACATATTTGAACCTAAACATGACAGATGATAGACAGAGAGAGGCAATTTGTGGCTTAACTAAAACAATAATATGTAAACCACCATTACATGTTGAGTATTTTGCTGTTGTTTTTCAGTATTTTTCAGGCAACAATGTATGCTTGCCAAAAACCCTTCTCAGCATTTGAAACAATCATAGGAAATTATTAAATGGCAAACAGAATAACAGAATTTTAAATACAGCTGAGTACTAAGGGTTCCAGAAATCTTGAGGCTGCAAAAACGCAGACAACCATTACCTGTATCTTAGGAACCAGGGATCATTGATCAAAGGCAGTGAAAGTCCCTTGCTGAACACTAGGTTAGATCACACAGTAGTGGATTAATCAATCTCTCTTAAAATACATGGAGAATGAACAAACCAACTGCTAGAACTTTCTAATCTTGCTTAAGCATCAAGACAGGAATGCTGTCTGCAACTACAATGGCATGCTTGAGTGACTGAGGCCAAACAATATCCATCACTACGTAGTATTCAGGTGTCAGGAGAAACAAGCATTGTTAATTCTAGAATCCAGGCCAGTATGAAGTTAATACTGGTTCCCACCTCTTACTGGTATCAGAGGGGGGCTTCGGGTGGGCTGAGAGAGGCATCAAATATGTTCCCGACATTTTACATTCATCCTGTATCACTGCTGCTGCTATCAACAAAAGGGTTGCCTATAGCTCTTCTTCCTGAACCTGTCCACAGTGGTCCATGGACATGATCCATCAACACACTCTTCACATCTTGCACATGGCAAGTACTCATGAAACATTTGTTGAATGACCATAAGTGTTTAAGAGTTAACTCTATCTATTTACTGCTGAGAATCTTGTTTGTTCTTGGAAAGAAAGTCTGTCTGATCTCACAGTTTGCTCTCTGAGTTGTGAGAGTGCTGTGGCTGTGGGAATTGTGTTAGGCAGCGCAGGGTTTTAGAAGGGAATCCAGAAGTCATGGTGTATGGCTGCAGCTGAACATGATGCTGAGCGAAATGCCTAAAGGGAGGGCTCAGCCAATAACTGCAGGTATTTAAAAGGCTGTCATGAGGAACTGAGTCTCAGGACACTCATGCTACAAGTAGACACGCTGAGAGCCAATCCAGAATGGGGGGACCATTTCAACTGACCAGACAGAAGATCTGTCTAGTGACAGATCTTTCCACTGAGTTGGGCCTCTCCAAAGAATATTAAAGCAGAAGCTTGATGACTATACAAAGTGGACAGTAGTAGAAACTAACAGTTTACGGCTTCAGAGTCAGTGTAAACTGGGTTCAAAATTCAAAAGTGGATGCTGCAACACCACGGCCTCCTTTGAGTGCATACCAGGAAGACAGTGAAAGGAAACCCTCCTGTGGGGAGAATTCTGAACAACACACCTGGTTGTGCATGTGGCCAGAAAAAAGAAATGGCCACAGGCACGAGTCTCCACCAGGCTCCCCTGGCGGCTCAGATGGCAAAGAATCTGCCTGCAATGCAGGAGACCTGAGTTCAACCCCTGGTTGGGAAGATCCCCTGAAGAAGGAACTGGATACACTCTCCAGTATTCTTACCTGGACAATTCCTTGGACAGAGAAGCCTGGAAGGCTATAGTCCATAGGGTGGCAAAGAGTCAGACACGACCGAATGACTAACAAGAGTCTACCAATTCATGGGCAAAATGCTTCTGCTAGATGGTCAGAACCCTAGAAGAAACGTCACTGGAATCCTGGTGACAAGGAGGCCTGGAAATGAGGAATATTGATAGATTTCTCTGAATGGGCAAAGAACACGAAGACCTTTGCATCTCATGTTAATGTTCACCAAAGGGTGACTTCAGCAGGGTGACTTCAGCAGATTTCAATCATCCTTTAAAGCTGAGGCGTGATCCATCCTGGGCTTCAGGCCCTTTCTGCAGTTACTCTGCTACTACCTGGTGGGTCATAGTGGTAGGGACGGAAGGTGTGCATGGGCTCAGGAAAATGGTTCACCATGGCTGGTCTGGCTACTGCTGAGAGCCCGGTCTGCCAGGAGCAGAGGCCAACAAGGGGTCCCAGCATGGTGACCAACAAGCCCCCTGGTGGCAGGATGAGTACCCTGAACAGCTTCCATCTGGAAGAGGCAGTGCTCTGTGCTTCTGAAACACTGGTTACTCACAACACTTCTACCTTTCCTGGGCTCTAGCAAAGAAGGATCAGAGGCTGCATCCTCCAAGATGAAAGAAATCATCAGACCAGGCTGGACAAGAAACAGAGACTTCTGGCAAGTAGGTCTCATGTTTAAGCTACCACAAAGTTCACCAGATGCTCCTTCCTTCAGTGGTTCAGAAAGTGCCCACTGTGTGCCCAGCCCTGAGAAGAAAACCAGGTAATTCCTGCACTGGAGGAACTCCCAGTCTTAAGTGAGAGACAAGTTCATAACCCAGTACTTAAAAATCAGAGGCCCAGAGGCTGCAGTGGAGGAGCAGACAAGATGTTCTGGAATGTCGGGGATCAGGCATTACGGGGGATATACACATTGGTGTGGTCATGGCAGAAAATGCACCGCTCACTAGGCTGGTGACACCTGAACTACTGAATGAGTACTTGCGGAACTCCCTGGTTCCTTAGGCATCAGACTTCCTTGTGGGAGACCTCTCAGCCAGTCCACGCTGATGATCTCTATCAGAGGAGGCAGCTTCTACTTAGTTCTTATAAGGCAGCTCTGGACAAGCATCAGCCCCTGCTTGCCTCCTCCCTGTGACCACACCTCAGATCCCTGGAGGCTGTTGCTGGTTTTTCTCCCATCAAAATGGTGGCCACTCAACAAGGCCAATGTGTCTGGCTGCAGGCTCTTGCTTCTCAATCAACTTACCAAGGGGCTTACCAATATTACAAATTCTCAGTTTCCACCTCCCCAAATCCTGATTAATTATGCCTCTGGTGGAACCATGGATTGTGTCTCTTTTTACAGAACAACTGGGAGATTCCAACTCAGGTGTTCTACACTTTAAAAAAAAAACACTGACTTAAGGATCAGCCGACTCAGCATTCTAACTTCTTTCTTTTAAGTCATTTCAGGGTAAAATCCACGGCAGAAAATGAGGTTACCCCCTACCTAAGGTGGTATTTTTTTTTCCTTTTTATGGAGAGGATTTTTGTGGGGTCAAAATGAAGATTAATACTGCATTAAGTTCTTTAGTAAGATCATTTTATCGACCCACAGATTTTCATTTTCCTCCCTCAAGGGCACAGATCTTATAGGGGTAACAGCAATCTCCACAGTAAGAACTGAGGAAGCCTTTTAGATTCATAGAGCATTTTCTAAGAAGTCATCTCATTTGGTAGCAGCGCCAACCTGAGCCATCCTAGTACATTCAAATACAGAAGTCATCTCTTTCATGTCTCCTCCCACCTTCTGATCCCAAAGAGCCACTAAAACAAGCTGATGAGCAGATGGCATCAAGAATTCACCTAAGGGACTTCCCTGGTGGCACAGTTGATGGGAATCTGCCTGCCAATGCAGGGGACCCAGGTTCAGTCCTTGCTCTGGGAAGGTTCCACATGCCGCAGAGTAACTA